GTTGGTCAGGCTGGTGTGGACCTCCCAGTGATCTGCCTGCCCCGGCCTCCCAATGTGCTGGGATTACAGGCGTGAGCCACTGTGTCCAACCTAATTTTTGTATTTTTGGTAGAGACGGGGTTTCACCATCTTGGCCAGGGTGGTCTCAATCTCTTGACCTCGTGATTGGCCTGCTCCAACCTCCCCAAGTGCTGGGATTACAGGCATGAGCCACCGTGCCCTGCCAAGTATAGGGTTTTAAGCAGAGATGCAGCACAGTCTGACTTTCCTTTTTAAAAGGCTAGCTTAGTATATTGTAGGGGCTGAGGGTAGACGCAGGGAAATAATTGAGAGGCTATTCATCATCCTGGTGAAAGGTGATGTTGGCTTAGGCCAAGCTGGGGTTGACAGAAGCAGTTGTATTCTGGGTATATTTTGAAGGTAGAACTGGTAACATTTGCTGATAGATTGGATGTAAGATAATGAGGGACAAATCAAAATCAAGGTTTCTGGAAGGATGGAAATGCCATTTACTGAAATAGGGTGGAGCCAGCTTGGGGAATATAAAACAAGAGTTTGGTTTTAGAGATATTAAAAGTGAAATGTCCAAGAGACATATCCAAGCAAAAATGTAGAGTTGGTAGATGGTGCTATGAGTCTCAAATTGAGAGAGAAATATTTAAAGCTATTGATGTGGGTAAAAGTAGGTAGACAGTGAGTTTATAAATGAAAATACCTATCTACAAATTAGAATTAAACACTGAAGAATGAAGATGGTGGTTCATCATCTCATTGAACCAGTGGAGGAGTTAGAAATTGGACTCAACACCGCTGCTTTCCTTTACAGAGCTGGTCATTGTATCCTAGTCCAAGATACATGTATATTGCCTTGTATGTTAAAGAGCTGAGAACACTTCTCAGGGGAAAGTTTCACTGCTCACCAACTCACAGACGTGTCTCCTGATGGTCTCGATGTTGTGCAATGCATTTTGGTCTTCCATCCTTACCTACTTTCTTGGTGTCTTTTCCCAGTTCACCCTTCTAATTGCCGTATCTCATCCGCCTTGATGTTACATATCACCTTCTTTACACATTGGGTCATTGTATTTAGCTATGGAGTGTTCTAAGGACAATGGACGCCTTCCTTGAGCAGGTGGCTAGTTGAGGAGGTAAGTCAGCAGGAGAAATAGGATAATGAATCTATGCAATGTAATTACACATTAACAGATCTATAAAACACAGAGAGTGAATTTCAAATGTTGGAGAGGTATGTGAACATGGATACTGAGGCATTGCCGGGGCAATGGGGGTCAGCACAAAGCCAAGTGAAAATTAGCAAGGAAGACTTCATGGAGAATGTGTCTTCTGATATAGAGAGAAGGGTATACATTTTTCAGTGGGTAAACTTTTTCCTTTCCAGATAAAAACAAAGTATGGAGTTGGAAGAGGAAACAGGAAAGTAGTATAGATAAGTAAATAAAATGTTGGAAAGCTTCGAGGCAAATATTCAGAAGTTCTAACCTAATTCAAGAGACCCTGAATAGGAGCTTCTATAAAGGAGAAAGGAACATAATTAAAATGTGCAGTTGGGGACAGGTGCAGTGGTTCACTCCTGTAATCACAGCACTTTGGGGGTCAAGGTGGAGGATACTTGAGCCCAGGAGTTGGAGACCAGCCTGGGCAACTTGGCAAGACCTTGTCTCTTAAAATTTTTTTTTTTTTTTTAGATAGAGTCACCTAGGCTAGAGTGCAGTGGCATTATCTTGGCTCACTGCAACCTCCACCACCCAGGTTCAAGCAATTGTCCTGCCTCAGCCAAAAAAAAAATTTTTTCTTTTTGAGACGGAATCTCACTCTGTCACCCAGGGTGGAGTGCAGTGGCATGATCTTGGCTTACTGCAACCTCTGCCACCCGGGTTGAAGCGATTCTCCTGCCTCAGCCTCCCAAGTAGCTGGGACTACAGGTGCCTGCCACCATGCCTGGCCAATTTTTGGAAATTTTTTTTAGTAGAGACGGGATTTCACCATCTTGGCCAGGCTGATCTTGAACTCCTGACCCTCGTGATCCACCCGCCTTGGCCTCCCAAAGTGCTGGGATTACAGGCATGAGCCACAGCACCCGGCCACCCCAAATTTTTTTTGATTAGCCGGGCACAGCTGGGTACAGTGGCTCACGCCTGTAATCCCAGCACTTTGGGGGGCCAAGGCAGGCTGATCATGAGGTCAGATCATGACCATCGTGGCTAACATGTGAAACCTCGTCTCTACTAAAAATACAAAAATAAGCTAGGCGTTGTAGCACGCGCCTATAGTCCCAGCTACTCGGAAGGCTGAGGCAGGAGAATCGCTTGAACCTGGGAGGCGGAGGTTGCGGTGAGGTGAAATCACGCCATTGCACTCCAGCCTGGGCGACAAGTGAAACGCCATCTATAAAAAAAGATTAGCCAGGCATAGTGGCACATGCCTGTAGCTCCAGCTATTCAGGAGTACTTGAGGTGGGAGGAGTACTTGAGCCCAGGAAGTAGACGGAGAGAGACCTTGTCTCAAAAAAACAAAATAATAATTAAAAAAAAAAAACCTACATTGCCTTTCCAGAAAAGCTTTTAATCAAGAACCAGTAGTACTGAACCCACTATTTCAAAAGCATTTTATGGCTGATGACATTGCCACCTTGGACCCTGGGACAGTTTTCCCAAATGGGCAGTCTTGACCTCGCTATTAGTCTGTGTTGTTAGGATGTCAGCTGTTCTCTTCATCTAAAAGCCACTTCGAGGTTGCTCTCAAAGTAGTGGCAGCAACTACTGGACTCCGCTCAGCACAAACCTCACATTATCTCCTGACACTGCAGTGTGATCCTTCCAGGACTTTTTTTTTTTCTTTCTTCAGACAGAGTCTTGCTCTGTCACCCAAGCTGCAGTCGCAGCTTACTGCAACCTCTAATTCCTGGGCTCAAGCAGTCCTCATGTGTTGGCCTCCCAAAGTGTTACCAGAAAGGGGTTCTGGATCTCACGCAAAAAAGAATTTGGGGCAAGTCGATAGAGTAAAAAAATAGCTACTCCATAGGCAGAGCAGCAGTATGGGCTACTCAACTGAATAAATTTATCTTGATCCATATGCTAAACAAGGGTTAAATTATTCATGAGTTTTCCAGGAAAAGGGCAGAGATTTCCCCAGAACTGAGGGTCTCTCCCTTTTATAGACTAGATAGGGTAACTTCAGGACATTGCCATGGCATTTGTAAACTGTCATGGCACTAGTGTGAGTTTCTTTTAGCGTGCTAATGCATTACAATGAGCATATGATGAGCAGTGAGGATGACCAAAGTTCACATTCAAGGCCACATTGGTTTTGGTGGCTTTTGGCTGGCTTTTTTCTTTGAAGGCAGAGTTTCATTCTTGTCACCCAGGCTGGAGTTCAATGGCACAGTCTTGGCTTACTGCAACCTCCATCTCCCAGGTTCAAGCAATTCTCCTGCCTCAGCTTCCCAAGCAGCTGGGATTACAGGTGCCCACTACCACACCTAGCTAAATTTTTTTGTATTTTTACTGGTGACATGGTTTTACCATGTTGGCCAAGCTGGTCTCGAACTATTGACCTCAGGTGATCTGCCCACTTCAGCCTCCCAAAATGCGGGGATTACAGGTGTGAGGCACTGCGCCCGGCCTTGCTGGCTTCTTTTTAACCACATCCTGTTTTATCCACAGGGTCTCTGTGACCTGTATCTTATGTCATCCTCGTAGCTCATACTATGACCAGGAATGCCTAATCTCCTGGGAAGACAGCCCAGTAGGTCCCAGCCTTATTTTACCCAGCCCCCATTCAATAAGGGAGTCTCTCTGGTTCAAACACCTCTGACCAAAATGCTAAGCTGAGCCACCACACCTGGCCTCAACAACCTCTTGATTGGTCTCCCTGACTTCTGTTTTTCCTCACCCCTCACTCAATGACCCTATCCTGGTGTACTGTAAACCAAAAATAAAATTCTAAGCTCCCAGGCCAGGCGCGGTGGCTTATGCCTGTAATTCCAGCACTTTAGGAGGCAGAGGTAGGTGGATCATGAGGTCAAGAGATAGAGACCATGCTAACATGGTGAAACCCCGTCTCTACTAAAAATACAAAAATTAGCTGGGCATAGTAGTGCATGCTTGTAGCCCCAGCTACTCAGGAGGCTGAGGCTGGAGAATTACTTGAACCCAGGAGGCAGAGGTTGCAGTGAGCCGAGTTCGTGCCACTGCACTCCAGCTTGGTGACAGAGCAAGACTCAGTCTCTGTCTCAAAAAAGAAAAAAATTCTAAGCCCCCAACCATCTCAATGGAACCCTTCTCTCAGACAAGGGTATTCCAAAGTTAACCTGAAAAGCTAGCTCTGGCCATGACCAGAAGGGGAGAGTCAGACATGCCTCATTATACCCTCCTCTTTTTGGAATTCAGACCCAGCTGACCAATATTAACATCAACAGAGAGACAGTAAGGCTGATAGTAACAGAATAGACTCTTTAAGTCTGATAAGAAACATTTACAGTCTGTTCTCTTTGAAGCCTGGAGGCTTTGTTTGCATGATAAAACACTGAACCCCAGAATCCCTTATAGCTTTGGTTTTTTTTCTTCTTTTTTTTTTATTTAATTATTCCTAACATTCTATCAAACCCTTATTGTTTTTTGTTTTTCTGTTTTGAGACCAAGTCTTGCTCTGTCACCCAGGCAGGAGTGCAGTGGCACCATCTCAGCTTACTGTAGCCACTGCCTCCTGGGTTCAAGTGATTCTCCCACCTCAGCCTCCAGAGTAGCTGGGATTACAGGCATCTGCCATCATGGTCAGCTAATTTTTGTATTTTTAGTAGAGATGAGGTTCCACCATGTTGGCCAGGCTGGTCTCGAACTCCAAATCTCAGGTGACCCATTCACCTCGGCCTCCCAAAGTGCTGGGATTACAGGTGTTAGCCACCATGCCCAGCCATTCAGGGCCATTTGATGAAGAACTTGGCTGTGGACCATAGATTAAAAAAAAAAAAAAAAAGTCCTTCTACCATGTTCGAAATATTGGTTGGGGACAGTGAAGGGATGTAAGCATTCAATTAAGCAATAAACCAGTGATCTTTAGGGAGGACCATAGCTTCCTGTAAAACTCATGGCTGAGCTTGTACCCAACACAAGGTTAACGAAGTGCATCAGAGCTTTGTAGTAATTCCACTCTGTCCCTCGAAGAGCCAGGGGATTTGTGTTTCCGTGTCTGTCTTGCATTGGAGCATAGTGGAAGCAACAGAAAATTTGGGGGTAAAGGCACCTGGCTTTGGTCTTAGCCCAGGACCAGGTCCAGGACCGCGGCCAGGTTTGTACCTGGATGGACTTCAGTAGGAACCACACTGGGGGTTAACAGATAACACAAAAGCAGATGTTTGTTCTGTGCAGGAAACACTCGAGGGGAGAAGAAAAGGCGCACACACACAATACCTTTAAGTGTAAACAAGCTTTATCCCACGTAAATGGCAATGCAGATAAAATAAGCAAATTAATATACTAAGCAGATTGATATAATAAGCAAATTGCAATGGGAAGGGGAGAAGGAAAAAGACATATACATATTTACACTCACCAGACTAGGGAGGACTTACCACCAGGCTGGGAAGCAACAGCCTGGGCTCCAGTCGGACATTACACACACGAGACTATGCAGGATTCACCTCCAGACTGGGAAGCAACGTTCCTGCAGACAAGGAGAGGTCTCATAAAGCTCTGGCGTGGTCTGAGACCCTAGCTCTTTTGGTAACAAGTTGTTTGGCATGAGGCCCAGTCACGAGGGTCCTTCACCACTTATCTCAGGGAACATTAAAAGATCTTGTTTCTGCGATTGTTTTTCAATAACTAACCTAGAGGAATAGATTGAAATAGAGATTTCTCCGAAACTTCGCTGGATGAACACCTCAAGGGGCTCACAAAACCTGTACGGGACTTGGTGACCGTTTTGTCCATGTTCAATTGAGTTAAAATTTAATATTTATCTTTTCCTCCACAGTGTTCAAGTCAACTTTTATGGGCATCTTATTTTACACAAAAATTAACACAGACAACAGACACGACTCTGGTCCACGAAACATGCTATCGCCGCCCAGCCGTAACGCAAAAGCACTCAGCGCCAAAAATGGGCCGACCGTCTCCTGGGCGGCCACCGCCCCTGCTAACCCCGCCCCCGTCACGGGTTTCTTTCCGTGCGTCCTTGCTATTGGCTCCTTTCCGGGCGCCTTCGGTTGCCGTGAGACCGAGGCGATGGCAACCAGGAGAAGCCAAACTTGGTCACCTGGTTCGCGGCGTGCCAGGGCGCGGAGCTCATGGCGCTGTACGAGCTCTTCTCTCACCCGGTAGAGCGCAGCTACCGCGCTGGACTCTGCTCCAAAGCCGCGCTGTTCCTGCTGCTGGCCGCGGTGCTCACGTACATCCCGCCGCTGCTGGTGGCCTTCCGGAGCCACGGTGAGCCTGCCCCGGCCGTTGTACCACGCGGCTCCCCGGGTGCGCTCGGCCGGGGCCGGCCTCCCTGACTGCCTCCTCACCGCCCTCTTTAACTCAGGGTTTTGGCTGAAGCGGAGCAGCTATGAGGAGCAGCCGACCGTGCGCTTCCAGCACCAGGTGCTGCTCGTGGCGCTGCTGGGACCTGAGAGCGGCGGGTTCCTCGCCTGGAGCACGTTCCCCGCCTTCAACCGGCTGCAGGGGGATCGCCTGCGCGTCCCGTTTGTTTCGGTGCGTGGTTCTCGCCTGGGCCTGTGGCAGAGAGGGGGATGGGGTGGGAACGGGGATGTGGAGCTAGCGGCCCCGGCCCTGGGGAGCCCAGCTTGGATCCTAAGGACTCGCGAACCCTCAGAGGTGGGACGTTTCATCTCCTAGGGCGTAGGGAATCGATCTTCTGTTTCAGTCAGCTTCTCCCAGACGTCCCCGGCCCCCGGAAAGCCACGCTGTCGGCGTGTGCGCCCTGACACAGTGTCCAGAGGCCTGGGGGCAGCCTGCCTCTGTCCCCGTCACACCTGCAGTCCTGGCCTGATGGAATGTGTTTGTGAAAGTCCTTTTAGGAGCCTTGAAGGCCGCGCGCTGTTATTGTAGGTAACGCAAAACTGTCCCGGCGTTTGCATCACAGCACTGTAGGAACGGAAAGGGCGGCATTTTTATGCTGAGCACTGGAAACCAAGGAGCTTATTGGTTAAGCGGCCTTCCAAAACGAGCTCTGGCTCGAGTCACGCCCCCTGGGCTTGTCCCCTTGGAGACTGCGCCGTCCTGCAGCTGTCCGGGATGAAATTGAAACGTCTTACTGTCTGTAATTTATTTATTTATTTTAAAACTTTTTTCATCAGTACTCAGAGGAAACTGTAATTTAGTATTTGCTTTGAGAGATTATAAAGAAATGCTTCATTTATAATCATTCCTTTTCACTGATTTTCTGAAAACATTTTCCTTTAGAAGTATGAAACTTCTGGTTTTCCTTCTTTCAAAGCTGAATCTCTTCAGACATCTCTAAGATGACTGATCGGCCTACAAGCCAAACGTGTATAGCTGGGTATTACAGAGTTCCAGGTAGACATAATAGAAATTGAAGGCTTAGTTATATATATATATATATATATATATATATATATATATATATATATCAATACTTATTAATCAGCCTTATTCTTTTTGAGGTCTCCAAAGTATTTCGCATCATGAAACTGCAGTACTGTATTTAACCAGTTCCCTGTTGCTGGATATTTGGCTTACTTTGACTTTTTCACTATTAGGGACAATATATATATATATTTTTTTGAGACAGAATATTGCTCTGTCGCCAAGGCTGAAGTGTAGTGGCATGATCTCCGCTCACTGCAACCTCCGCCTCCTGGATTCAAGCAATTCTCCTGCCTCAGCCTCCCGAGTAGCTGGGATTACAGTCGTGTGCCACTGTGTCCAGCTAATTTTTTGGATTTTTTGTAGAAAAGGGGTTTCACCATGCTGGCCAGGCTGGCTTCAAACTACTGACCTCAGGTGATCTACCTACCTCAGCCTCCCAAAGTGCTGGGATTACCTGTGTGCGCCACCATGCCCAGCCTAGGGGCAATATTTCAACGAACAAGGTTTTGACTAGATCTTATGCTTTTAAATGTGAAATTGTGAGGAACTGGAACAGCAGCTCTTTGATGAAATTGTATAAGTACATAGAAAACTAAGCAAATAATAACTGCAGAGAAATGAAAAGTAAGGAAAACTGATAACAAAAAGTCACCAGAGTTGTGAATAGGATTTATATAGTCTTAATTATATGAACACTGAATGTTGACTGACCAAAAGAGATTTTAGCTCTACTGGGGGTAATGAGAAAGGTATTGAGTATATGACAGGGGATGGTGGGAGGAGTGGAGGGAGAGAAGAAGCTAAATCATCTTTCCTTGTGGGGACTCAATAGCGAATGCCTAAAACTGAGAAGTTGAGAGTTGCCAATGCAAATGTCATCTCAAGACCTGGAGATACATTTCTAAATGATTGAGTAAATGACAAAAAAATAGTTGCACCTAGATATGATAGCTCACACCTGTCATCCTAGCATTTAGGAAGGGCAAGGCAGGAGGATTGCTTGAGCCCAGGAATTCAAGGCCAGCATAGGCAACGTAGCAGAACCCCACATTTT